ATATAAAATTTTTATATTTTGGTGTTTAGGATATTAGGCATGTCGGGAGTGGTGGAACAGTAATGGTTAAGTCTAGTGCAGGTTGCAGGCCATATGGGCTGATCGGGGAGGAGATATCTCCCTTCCTATAGGCTTGGGTATTTAAAGGCCTAGTCATTCTACACACAGAAACCCGTCAATATCTTGATCAAGGGCTTACCTCTAATGGCTAAACAGGTTCCCATGAGCAGGGCCCCAGTATCTTGTGGGGGAGGGGGGAAGGCTCGACCATGTGCATTGGCTATGTGTGGCCTGTGTAGGTCAACCACAACTTCCCATACTTGACGGGCAGTCTAGACATGTCTCCATCAGTGTATGTCTGCTATTACCTCCTAATGCAGTAGCGTGTGGTGCTGGCTACAATATACTATCCAAGGCCTGAAATGTTCATGCCCCTGACAGTTTCCGATTCCCAAGCACCAAAGGTATAGTGTGTTACCAGTCAAGCCTTCCCGGTATGCATTATGGGACACTGTGAATAGGGAAATAGGGTTCCATCCTTCTCCCCATTACTCCCAAGAGTGATCCTCACCGCCCATTCAGCCATCTTCTACCTGCTCCTTAAACTAGAAACATATGTATAAAATTATAACAAACTGTACGACCTTTTAGGTTCTATAATGCTCAGTTCCTATCCGCTTGATATGCAGAACACTACGATAAGGATACACGTATGCTTGTAGAGATTAGTTGTTTGCAGACATATGCTTCTGTTTCTCTAACAGTCTCGGGGTTGGGCCTTCACCCAATCGGGCGAGATTCTGACCGAGGTCAGCAGCGATTCTGAAAGATCCAGGCCCCATTTTCACAGCATAGTTAGGCCGACTTCTAGTGATGTTATTGTGGTAACCTTCCCGTTCCTGTGCACCAGCAGCTTTGCTTGGTATCCCCAATGGTATCATCATTATTATTATATTTATATAGCGCCAACAAATTCTGTAGCACTTTACAATGGGTGGACTAACAAACATGTAATTGTAACCAGACAAGTTTGACGCACAGAAACAGAGGGGTTGAGGGCCCTGCTCAATGAGCTTGCATGAAAGAGGGAGTGGGTTAAAGTGACACAAAAGATAAGGGAAGTATTAGGAAAGTAGATTGGAAGAATCAAATTCAATGATTTTTTGAGGGAGTGGAGACTGGGTGAGCATCTAACAGAGAAGGGACAGGAGTTCCACAGGAACTGTGCAGCCCTAGAGAAATCTTGAAAGCGAGCATCAGAGGTGGGAGTACGAACAATGGATAGACGTAGGTCTAAGGTAGAGCGTAGGGGCTTAGATGGGACATATTTGTGTATTAGAGAGGATAGATAGGTGGGAGTAGCATTATGTAGAGATTTGAAAGCAAGAACCAAAATTTTATATTGAGCCCTATATCTTACAGGAAGCTAATGCAGGGATTGACAGAGGGGTTAGGCATGGGAGGTGCGGACGGACAGGAAGATGAGCCTCGCCGCCGCATTCATTATAGACTGCAATGGGGCAAATTGGGAGCATGTAAGACCACTGAGAAGCAGATTACAGTAGTCAAGGAAAGAGAACACAGTGGCATGGACCAGCACCTTAGCCACATCTGGCATTAAGTAGGGGCGTATGCGCGCAATGTTTTTAAGAAGGAAGCGGCAGGATTTGGCGATCAACTGGACATGAGGGTGAAGGTGAGGTCATGTGTCAAAGAGAACACCTGGTCAGCGAGCTTCCCTGTTGCATTGTAGATCATTTGCTGAATACTTTGTGAATAAAGTTGTGTTGATTTACATTAGGGGTATATTAACTCTGTCTCCCTCCACCATTAACGTGGAGGGAGACAGAGAAGAGGGAGACAGAAGTTCTGTTTTGGACAAGTTATGTTTAAGGAAGTGGGCAGCCATCCAGTTATAAAAAGCAGAGAGGCAGTCAGAGACACTAGTCAAGAGGGGGGGGAGAGATTAGGGGAGGACAGATAGATTTGCGTGTCATCCGTATAGATGTGATATTGGAAGCCAAAGGAGCTGATGAGTTCACCAAGGGAGGCAGTATAGATTGAGAACAGTAGGGGACCATGGACTGAACCTTGGGGGATACCCACAGAGAGAGGTTGGGAGGAAGAGGCAGAACCAGAGAAAGAAACACTAAAAGAGCTCTTGGTGAGGTAGGAGGAGCACCAGGAGAGAGCAATATCTTGTAGACCGACATTATGGAGAATGAGAAGAAGCTGTTGATGCTCAACAGTATCAAAAGCAGCGGAAAGGTCATGAGATTTTGCAGTAAATAGATCATTTGACACTTTGGTCAGAGCCGTTTCCAGTGCTGAACGCAGAAACCAGACTGAAGTGGGTCGAGCAGAGAATAGGACTCGAGGAAGTCTGTCAATCTCACATACACAAGTCTTTCAAGGAACTTGGACGCAAAAGGCAGTAGCGAGATAGGGCAGTAGTTGGGCAGAGAGTTAGGGTCAAGGTTGGGCTTTTTTTGTCGCATGTTTGAAGAGTAATGGAAATATGCCAGATGAGAGGGAGAGATTGAGAATTTTAGTGAGAGGCAAAGCAAGAGAAGGAGACAGAGTACAGATGAGATATGAGGGAAAAGGATCAAGGGAACAGGTGGTGGGACAGGAGTACTGGAGTAGATCAGAAACCTCTTCCGCTGTAGCGGGTGCGAATGAACATAGAACAGATGAGAGAGTGAGGTTAGGGCAAGTATTGTAAGGGGAGGAGAGTGATGAGAGATATCTTCCATGATTGCAGAGATCTTATAAGTGAAGTGAGCTGCAAAGTTTGTTACGGTTAAGTCGGTAGGAGGAGGAGGAGGAGCAACAGGGTGAAGAAGAGAGTTAAAAGTGTGAAATAGTCATTTGGGTTCATGGGAGAGTGTGATTATGAAGGTATTCAAGTAATTTACTTTTGCAAAGGAAAGAGCCAAGCTGTAAGAGCACAGCATAAATTTATAGTGGAGAAAGTGAGATATGGAGTGAGCCTTTCTCCAGCAGCGTTTAGCAGTTCTGGAGCATTTTTGGAGGTATCAAGTCCGCTATGGCAGGCGGTGGTTGCGTAGGGCTCCTGTGATGTCCCAAAACTCCCTTCTCCTTTTCAACATGAAGGCTGAAATGTCCATGAACAAAAGGATCCCCTCATATGGCTGTGGGTAAGATCTTGCACATTCTGTTATTTTTAAGTATTGCCTCCTTTATATGGTAGTAGTGCAGCCTGACAAGGACGTTGCGTGGTATCTCGGCTGCTAAAAACTTCAACTCCAGCAGGAACATATCATGCGGTAGGTCTGGAGCCAGGGCTTTCAGGAGGCAGGTGACATAACTAGTCAGCTCACTCATCCCCTCTTTTTTGTAGATCCCGCGATTGCAGAGATTATTTCTGCAAGCTCATTCCTCGCTACCAGCCAGTTTTGTCTCATAGAGGTCCATGTGTGTAATGAGGCCTTCCATATTACCTGCCAGATCATTATGGGCATCTGTGAATTCTGCCATTTTATCTTCTGTAGCAGATGTTCTTGTGCCGAGATCTATCCGCAGGTCATTCACAACAGTGTGGAAATTAGCCATGAGTTTGGAGGTAATTTTGTCCAGCAACTTTTGGAGCAATCCTCTTGTAAGTTCGGGATCAGGTTCCATGAGACCTGAGGACAGATCCAAGTCCATCTCCGCACCATCTTGGCTTACCTCGGTCTGTTGCAAGTTTTTGCTTAAAGTCGCTCTAGAGGCAAAAACTTTGGCTTTCTCTTGACTCTCTTTGACCCTCTTACTTTTGGGCTGCGACATTGCCGGGTCAAAGTAGCTACAGCATGCGACTGCTCTAGTCTGCATCCAGGACATGCTCCATTATAACCATACATTTTATAATATTCTTATTTCGTGTATAAGAATAAAGCTGTTTCTGTTAAAATTCTTTTTTTTGCAGGGGCATGCTTTTTGTAAAATGCCCCAATTTCTCAGTAATATATTTGGTACATGTTTACTCAGGTAGTTATATTTGGGAGTCTGGTCATAGTTTTACCCTTTTTTGGTACATCTAATTGAAAAAAAAAATTCTAACAGATCTTCCTAATTCAGGGCCCGAACAAAATGGTTTTCTTTAGTTAAGAGTTTACTTGAGTAACCACTGTGGAAATATGTATGCACTATATCAGTAAGCCTCCCCTCCAGGATGGCCTCATCAGTTAAATTTATTTATAACGGTATCAGTTGACAAGTTATTCAAACATTGATGGTATTAAAGGGATGATAACAGGTGTAATGGAGTAAACTGTTTCAATCAGTATGTTTTTGGAACATGTCAGTGAAAAGAGAAGTTATGATGTTCTCTCTTAAGTTATTTTACTTTGGTTGCACTTGTGTAGAAATTATTAAATGCAAAACTGAAAAAGCTGTTGATTGTTCAGAAATAACTGAATTGCAATCAGATTTCCTTTTTACATTTGGTCCAGTTCCTGTGAAAGAGGCTAGGGGAATTGCACCTATAATCCATCAAATCATCTCTAAATGTCCTTTAACAAGTCTCTCTTAACATAATGGCTTCTGGTGATGACTGAACTAGACACATACTCCTTTAACCCCAAACAGTTCCACCATCTGTATGATGTTTAATCATCTGTCACTAAAATGCAATTGATAAGCCAAAGTGATTTAGCTCCTCTACTAGTTTCATTGGCCCCCTCATGCCTGTACTGGCCATCAGACAAACTGGGAAATGCCTATTGGGCAATGATATCCATCAGTTCTTGCTGGGCCAAAACTATCAGCGGTGGGGAGATCGAAGCTCTCTACAAACTCACAATCTCACAGACAGCCTCCAAAAGCATGCACAGTAACCCTCTGTTGGCGCTATATAAATGGCGATAATAATAATAATAATTAACTTAATAAAATTATATTGAGGGTGGCCAACCACGGAGCTGCATGGCCGTGCACTAACTCAGCTTCGCTCTACCTGTAAGTGAATCCAAACTAATCGGAGACGAAACTACACTATGGGGAACCCCAAACGTCAAGGAAGTAACCAAGAAAAATCCGGGAAAACTCTGGTACAAAAATCAGGCTCCTTAACCCGCTACTTTAGAGATTCCTCGGACTGCGAGGCCGGAGCAGATGTAAACAAGATGGCCGCGATGGAATCAGAAAACGACATAGAGCCGTCTAGCCTGGCGAACTCCGAGATCTCCAACAAATCCCTGGAATCAAGAAGAGATGCAGACATCAGGGACCTATTGAGAAACCTGCCATCGAAAGCAGACTTAGCTTCTATGCTGGGTAAGTTGGAGGCGTCATTTCAAAACAATATTAAAACTATTGAAGCCGAAGTGCAACCGGTTAGTCATCGCGTTACAGACCTGGAGGAAGAGAGGGACATCATACAGGCCCAAATTACCAATCTCTCTTATACATTGGAATCCCAAACAAGCGCTCTAATGGGATTCCAAAGGTATCTAATCGTTCTCACCATCCTGTACCACACATACTGTATACGGGACATAGACAATCTGGGCCCCCGAAATAATTTAAGAGTGAGGGGTCTACCTGAAACCCAAGGAGAGGATATTGTATTGATGCTCTCTGAACTGTTCAACCTGCTATTAAACAAACCAGGAGACCATCCTATTCTATTGGACAGGGCTCACAGATCCCTCCGTCCACGGGGAGTTACGCAAGACACCCCCAGGGATATTATATGTAGACTGCACTACTTCACAGTTAAAGACGAAATCCTTAGATCGCTCAGGGATACCACCCAACCTCTATTATTCCACGTCACACCAGTGCAAATATATCCTGATCTAACCTGGTATACACTCCAAGCCAGGAGATACCTGAAACCGGTCACAGAATTACTAAGACAACGCAACATCAAATACAGATGGGGCTTTCCATTTGCCCTAATTGTGACACATAAGGGATCTACACTATCTATAACCTCACATATAGATGTAAAACCATTTTTGAGGGCATTGGACACGCAAGTGATGGATTGGAACCAGCCACCCACAGGTGCAGCAGAGACAACGTTGCTATACCCCTCTGAAAAAGAGGAGACCGGAGCATAGAGTCTTTTCACCCAATAGAAGAAACCCACAAGACCAGGGAGAAAACTACAATTAACCCGGGCCTGGCCGTTTCGCCCCGAAATTAGTGCGACAAGATACTGGAGAGAATGTGGGGTATCTGCAACTGGATGAACCTCGACCTCTTTACCCTCTGCTCAACCCCTATCTCTCCCCTATCCTTCAAGTCATGACAGCCACTGGAATCAGGCACAAGATC